TATGAATTATGCAAGAAGCTTTACAGCTCCTTACTGCAGTATGCTTAATCTGTAATGCCCTCTGAAAGTGCATCCTGTCTGTCATCAGCACTTCTCACTGCTCTGCGTGACCTCATATACTTAAGTATTTGGGCGGGTTGCTGTTATTGTATGCGTTATTAAATCTGGGTGTGAAAGCGCAGTAATTGTTTGTGTTTTTCATGTTTTAACACTGTATGTACAGTATTCAAGAACTGTGCTTTGTAGTTTTACCGACACCGCCCTTCTAACTGCTTTTTCCCTCCGTGTCTCGTGTTTTCTCTTTTTAACAGCCAGGATCCAGCTTGGAGCAGACCCACATTTTTGTTCTTGCACACATACTTCGTAGGCCTATTATCGTCTATGGAGTGAAGTATTACAAAAGTTTCCGTGGTGAAACACTCGGGTATACCCGTTTTCAAGGTGAGCAGTTATTTGAGTGTTTGGACTCATGTTGTTTTGGTCAGATATCATGAAATGTTCCATTCCAGTGGGCGTAGAAGGACTACACTTCCTTTGTGAAATAGCTGCAGCCTACATGTGTCTGCATAGCTTGCATAGCTGACATAACTGCCCCTCTGATCTGTCTGTAATTGCTATTTACAACATGCATCAGTCTAGTGTCTTTCATTTAACGGCTATTTTAGTATTGTGTGACTCAAAATAACATAAACAACATAACAAAAACACCCCCGCCTGTCATATGAGCACATTTAAAAGTGCATTAAGATGCCGGGAAAGTGTTCGATACACACACACACACCCCCAGATACGTTTTAACATATGTAAACCATCAGAACCCCCGAGTCAAACAATCCAGCGAGGGTGGAATGCGGGGTCCACGTTTATGGCTAACAGTAAAAACAGCCTGGACTCAGTTTGGCTGCTGAGTGATGCTGTACAGAGGATGATGAAAGTGCTCGGTAATGGCCAACTGCTTGTGGTAAAGCCTGCCTGATGGAGCCGTGATTTACTGTTGCCAGGAGCAAATGTAAAACACACAGAGGGGGAGGCGTGCATATGGGTGCCTGTAGGGAGGGGAGCTCAGTTTAAAGTGGTGACCAAGTGAACCCAGTAAAAACACCGTGGTTACTGGGAGAGGAGATAAACAGGCTTCTCAATTAGGGTGTCGGTTACAGAGGAATTCATGAGGTGTGAGAGCTGCTTTGTGTATTATGGAGACATGAATACTGTCTGTATTGTGTTTTGTGTCATTCTGAAGTCAGCAGTGACAGTGTTAACACAATTACTGTACTGTACTGAAGTACACTTATTCTCCACTACATTTCAGAGGGGGAAAAATCCTTTTTACTCTTATTTGACAGCTATAGTTATTTTGCAGATTTTACATACAAAACATATGAACAGTTTATAAAATATGATGCATTGCGTTAAAATCCGCTCCACCTCAACCAACTACAGTATTAAAATGTTTTAATATGTGATTATGCATCAGTGAAAATAATCCTATAACGTAACTGTCATGGACCATCTTTCTGCATGACGAGTACTTAAACTATAAATACATTTTACATATTACACGATAATACTTATTATATAATACTTATATAGTACTTATAATATTCGAATTAAGATTTTAAATGCAGGACTTGTAATAGTATTTTTACATTGTGGTATTGCTACTTTACGAACATAAAGGATATATATACTTGTTCCACCACTTCATATTTCTTCCTCTCCTTTATTTTTCCTGTCCACTTTGGCCAAAATTTCTATCATTAAAATGATAGCCTTTGATTCACTGTATTATAAAAACAACTTGTTGATACAAAAGAAAGTGTTATTGAAGGGCAAAACTGAAAATACAGGAACACATTAATGCATTCTCCCCTGAAAAAAAGCGCCAAAAATAACTACTGAGGTTAATTATGTCATATTCAAAATGGTAATGTATTATGAGCAACGCCAAAGTAGATTTTGTTCTCTTTGAGGGTATGTTTCATTACACTTAACACTAGTTAAGTTTATATTACTTATGCCACTTTGAAAGGGATGAACCAAGGTAAATGAATTCCTAATTATTCTGAAACATTCATGATACGGTCAATAAAAGTAAGTAATTATTCAGAAAAGAGAGAAAACAATTGAATATATTAAAGTAAAGCAGGGTTCCTGTGTTCGCAACCTGCTGCAGTGACTGTGGGCAAGCGCCACACAAAAGCAAATTAATGTGGAGTGTGACCAACAATTATGCAATTCCTTATTATTTATTTATTTATTTTCTCTCCCTCCTCCTCTCCCTCTAGGTGTGTACCTGCCCCTTTTGTGGGAGCAGAGCTTCTGCTGGAAGAGCCCCATCGCTCTGGGCTACACGCGGGGCCACTTCTCAGCACTGGTGGCCATGGAGAACGATGGCTTTGACAATCGCGGCGCGGGCGCCAACCTAAACACAGACGATGACGTGACCGTCACGTTCCTACCGCTGGTCGACAGCGAGAGGAAACTGCTTCACATTCACTTCCTCTCAGCGCAGGAAGTAAGGACCAGATTTCTCGTTTGTCCCTTTAAATGTAGCTTATTGTTGTTTTTTTGTTACGAGCATGAAACCTGTTTACTTGGAATATTTGTGTAAGAGGTTTCTCTCCTCCGTCTCCTCCATCCCGCCCTCCCTCCGGCCCGCATCATGATGTCAGAGATAATATAATCCGTCCCGCTGGTTGTCTTTAAAAAATGTTTTCTAGTCGGCTCATATCAATTTAAACTACTAAAATAAACATAAACATATAAACAAAGGGTTGATGAGGCGAGAGCAGGTTTCAGGCCTTCATTCATTGTTTGGCAGCCAAAAAAAGAAAGGTATAAAATGGTGATTCAAAAATGGATAGAAACAGCTTTTTGCATGTTTTGTAAAGTATGTAGTGCTCCTATGAGATGACAGTACCAAGCTAGTTTGAGAGCCCTGATGCAGAGACACCTCTTCAGCAGGAGTGTACCATCTCCTCAGGTTAGACTGGTGAAATGGCTCCCTCTGATGGCCGTATCTGTTTCTCCCTGTCCCTCAGATGGGTAATGAAGAGCAACAGGAGAAGCTGCTGCGGGAGTGGTTGGACTGCTGTGTGACAGAGGGCGGGGTTCTGGTGGCTCTTCAGAAAAGCTCCCGCCGCCGCAACCACCCGCTCGTCACCCAGATGGTGGAGAAGTGGCTGGATGGCTACCGGCAGATCCGCCCCTGTGCGTCTTTATCTGATGGCGAAGAGGAGGAGGAGGACGACGAC